TGGAGAGGTAGAGGAAGAACGAAGAAAAGATTAATAGATTAATTACAGGACATTAAAGAGAAGGGGGTGAATAATGAGGTGACGAGTAACAGGGGAGAGTGGACGAAGAAGACGTACTGCGCCGACCCCAAGTAATTTGTAAAATGGACAGGTAGATGATGATGATTGAAAAATCTATCTTTAGAGCTTTTTTTATCTATAAAGAACTCATGGGCAAACTGTTAAACTTCTTAACTTAGCAGTACATGTTTTGCATTTTATGTCAGTGGGTTAATTATATAACAATTCATATTATATAAATAAATAAAAATATAATAATTTAATGTAAGTAGATACATAATATTGCTTTAGACATCATATGGTTAATCCTAAAAATACTATCAAAAAGTATTTTATGTGATCCGGAAAATGTTAATTTTGTTTAAGTAATATCATATAAATACTGCGATTGATATCAACAAATTCGTGCGGACTTTTATCACGAATCGCAATATGTATTTTATAGGCGCCGTAAATCGAGGAACGAGGCTTCTAACGTTTGCCTACGAGTTCTCCACCGACTTTTATGAGATTTGTCGTTAGAAATTTTATGTGATCGAGTGAGCCCTTTGACCGATTTCATAATATTTATGTTTCGATCGATATGAATAATTTAGTGTATCGCATTCAAAGTTTTCGCCGTATCTATTAATGTTTTGTAGCTTTATTTCTATGGCGTTCTATTAACAAAGTGCACAAAAGCTTATTGATTAATTACAAAATGAAGTATCGTAGCTATACTTTTCGTTCACTTTTAGTGCAATCAAAAAGTAAAAGGTCGTGGAATCACTATTTCTATATTAGCAAAGCGACGAAGCAACGTGATGAAAAATTGTGAAATCGCACAACGTTCCGACTATTAGGTATATGCAATAATAAATATTTGAAAAGGGCGAGACCTGTGTACTTGTTATTTCAGATTCACATTTTATAATAAACGAACGGTTATTCCAAACACGTTCCAAAGGTGTATTTTTAAAGACGGCTTTCGGTGGCCAGCATTAGGGATGCCGCGACCGCGCCACCCCAAAACTTTCTCGCCCGTACACCTTTTGATATTCAATATACTGCGAGACCTAAGCAATCCTTTGATGAGATGTTTTATGCAAAAAACGTTGAGCGCCTTTAGCGGGGCGCGAATAAGCGTTCAAAAGTGAACGCATTAGTATTCCTGATCCCGGCCACGACCTCCCCTCCAGTTTTGGGGGCATAAAAAATCAATGTATATTCCCGCTGGACGCGATTTGAATACTGATTATGGGAATACTAATTGTTTGTGTTTGTGTGAAGGTGAAATCGTTTTTTTTTAAATTGCTTCTTACCGAACAAATCCGATGATATTGTGTGCATGCTAATTACGTTTAGGTGTATCTATAACCAAAATGATTATGAAAGACAAATATGACTTATTTAATGAATATTTGTTTAAACAATATTAGGAAATATTATATTATCAAATTTGGAATAAGATTTTACAAACTATAAATTACTTTGAAAATTTTGTTCTGGTGTATCGGATGGCAAGTGAACTATAAATTTTGTTCATTTTCGTCCTGTGGGCAATGTAAGTCGAAGAAGCCCGTAGCGATACTATGTCAGAATAACTACAAGAAGCTTTGGGAAGAATATTTCCTCTATTACGACCAACGATCGCAATATATGGCATCAGAGAATACGATAATTTAACCACCTTCACATATCATTTTACTGAAATCGCATTTCATGTTTATGACTAAACTTGGACTTCATGCACTCAACAAAATGGCTTTCCAATACTTATAAAAGCGATATCGTCTCGTACACCACTAAATATAATGTACTCGTATATGGTAAGTAGACTGCAAATTACTGATCTAGGCGTACACTTCGAACGTTAAATTATTAAGTGCTGTCACGAAGGCCGTATCTTTGTTAAACTCTTGCTATAAAGTTTTCAATACATGAATATTTTTCGTAACTAAATTCCATCCCGTCAAAGACTAACTTTGCGACTTCGAGAGTAATGGTGTTATCAAATAGCTATCATATTTCCAACGGCGATTCGACCGTTAAGCCGACTGTGAATTTTAAATCGTTTTTAATAGCCTCGTATCCCCCACATGACGTCAAAGCTAGCTTAGGGCGAGTTGCCTACTATTTGATTTCCCTGTTTTTGGTAGACTAAACCGCAGCACTTTGGATATGACGTATGTTATAGCGGCCATTCTTTTATGTTTCTGAGCGTTGTAATTAAGTTTCGAGATTGTTGTTAATGCGAGGTGCTGTCTGCGTGAGATATGTAACATAAATACATTGTACCGTTGTATACAAAGGCGCCCTTGTACTAAAGAGGCTCGGTGTTGACGTCAACTCGAGGAATTTAATTAACTTTGTTAACTACTAAATACTCTTAACGTCTTTGATACCTCAGTTCCTTTAAATTGACAAACAGGGGGTTGTGTGCATGACAGTCGCTGTCAAACTTTCATTAGGCCCGCGGAGCGAGGCGAAGTTGTATGGCAATAATGACTTAGGCGCGATAAAACAAATGAAACGAACCGGGGCGGCCCGCAATGCGGGGCATCATAGACTCATTTCTCATGTCTGCCGGCACCTCGAGCGGCTACAACTTTGAAACGGAACCGAGCCGATTTTAGTGCACTTTAATGCATATTATAACGTGGTAAGAACTCGGAATGGACCAAGCGGGCGAGTAATATTGCGGCAGACACCATAGCACGAACGAACTCTTTATTGAAAGAGTAAACTGTCCTTTTTCACGAAACGCCTGAGGCTCTTTGTGATGCTGGAATTTCGCTTAACTTATTTGGCGCCAGAATGTAAATAATAGCGAACTAAGAGCTATGGATTTTCGGATAGTATCTATTTTTCCCTTTAGTGTGGTTTTAAAACTCGTAACCATTTACGTCGAACTACCGTTTGCGACGTGGAGTGGCTGGAGTATTTAAAGACTTTGTAGCGACCTAGTTTGTTTCGGTGAGCTTTGTAATCAACGTAGGTACCCGCAACCACCATGTGTTACTGGTTGGGAAAAGGCTTCGTACAACTATCGAACATTGAAACAAAGTTACATTATGCAGATTAAGTTAGAGTAATTATTACGGTACGTGGCTAAAGCACGAGAGGGAACGTCAAAGGTAACGCTTAAACAATTTAATATTCTGCACACAAGCATTACAAACGCCAACTCAAACGTAGCTCTCCTTTCGTAAAAGTTGTTCCGTAAACGAACTCCCCCTTCGTTAGATATCTACGTGAGTTTAATCCATTCTGTAGCGGTAGGGCTCGGTCACGAATGATTTTCGAGGAAAATTGGTGAAAATTGCAGCAACATACGCGAAAATTACCACTTGTAGGTGTTGTTTAGAATCGTGGTTCCAATTTATATGGCGGTGAAAATGTGATATGAGGTCTCTGTGGTCTACGCCGACCTGCGAGCGCGCTATATTACTCCAAACGACTACGAAAATGTAGTCATGAGCGTTGCATTATGCACTATGAAGCAGTCGAAGTTCGGTTTACTAATTTTATGTCAAAATACTTGCTCTGATATTGTAATTTAAGCATTCTATCTGATTATTATTAATGGAAGGGCTTATTTATTTCTATTTCAGTTAATAATTATTTAAAGACTTCAAAAAATATTGTTAAAGAAGTAAATTATAAATTATGATGAAAACGAGCTCGAAAAATCAAATAGCATAGGTACAGGTAAGAAAAGAACAATACAAGACTCGACCAGGATTTTCAAAGCGCTAAAAGTGAAATTCTCTTTGTTATGCCAGGGAAATAGCCAAACGGAATGCTGTTCGGGCATACAGCTTAAAAGCTTTAGTGCAAGCTTTTAAAAGTTAATAAATTGAGAGTTGACAAAAAGTGTTAAAGAGTAGGTGTTCCACACGCTATTTGGCTACATACAATGAACGTATAATCGGTTTTTCGTGTTTTGAATTAAATCCCCTGTTTCGATGAAGGTAACGTGTTGATGGCATTCGTACGGGAGTCTAAATGTCCGGCCGTCGGGGCGAGACGAATTATGGCCTTTGTGCCACTTTCACTCGCGGCTACTTTTTAATTCTCCCGCACGAAGGAATTTTTTAATTCGTACGCTTTTATGAAATTTTATGTCCTCCCGTGATTGTTCCCGATGTCACCCTAGTTCGGGTCTCGCTTATTGTTCTCAAAAACTGGGTCGATAATTTATTTTTGCCAAACTGACATTTTTATTTTGTAAAGAACTTTTATGAATTCACAGAATTTTTATTCAAAAATGTAATTAAATATCTTTTGTTATTTGATAATAATTACTTTGGTAGAAAATATATATTTATATAATATGATTCAAATACTTCGTATTCTATAGCAAATATACAGAACTCATACTACTAACGTTGTTTAAGATGCATGGCTTCATCTGAACCCTTATCTATCAACAATATTAAATTACGTCAGTCAAAATTAAGCCGTTTTCGATGTTTGATCACTATTGATGTCTATTACTGTCTATATATTAACATGGCGAATATCTTCGTACCAACTTGATTGCCTCGAGTACGTTGAATTTATGTTCATATTCTGAATAAATAATGCACTTTACACGAAATGAGTTGTATTATGTTATTAGCTTATATAGATAGCAGGTACTCTGTGGATTAAATAATTAGATTAATCCATTAAGATTAATGTATGATAATGATCACCAGGGACAAGGCTTATACTCGCTGTTTGAATAAGATTTTGAAACAAAGGCATGAATACATGGATTTAGTCTAAGAAATAGAAATTAGGTATGTGTAAAATTTAAATTATCTCTTCACATAAACGCGCTTATGTACAAGTAGAAGATATAAAAATGTTGCCTTCATTATCAAAGTACGCTCAGTGCTGGTGCTACAAGGGGCATATTATAATATAAATATTATTGTAATTTTATTTTATTATAATTTCTGTATAGCACTTACTTGTTCCCGCGTAGTAAACTGTATAATCTAGCTGATGTCCCATCATGTCTACTTTGACTCTATCCACTACAAGACGTGTGAAGAAAAGATCTCGTTTGTAGTAGATCGGCTTTTCGTGTTCGTGTGATACTGCACTATCCATTAACGGATGCGACCTATTAGAACAATATTAATAGTAATTTTAATATTAAATAAAATATTAAATCTAAATAATTATATTGGTCAAGAAAAAATCAAAAAAGCAAAATAAAACGTTGATAAGATGGTAGTGATGACAATAATGTTCGCAAAGTAGCTGACAATGCATGTAAGATGGCGCCACACTTATAAATAAAAGGCGTAGCCAGCAACAGCATTCTTCATTTAATTAAAAAAATTCAATCTAGTGCGAGTAAAATTCTATGTATTATTTTCACCCGACTGGTTCAGGTGAAGTGCTAAAATCTCAACGTTTCAACGTGAGGATTGTGTAAAAAGTGGGGAAAAAAATAATTGAACACTCCCGGGGCGAGAGCGTTGGATAATTAACAGGACGTGTCGCTAGATAAAAGTGCCTGCGGATTTCAATGAGGGCGGAATCCTGGAAAGACTAGCTCGTATATGTTTATAAGTGACAATTTTTATTGTCGACATTCCTTTATCGTCTGCTGGATCTCTGAATTAAAAGTCTTGCATCGCGCTGTGACTACGTTTTTATGAACAAAAATTTGATTGTCTGGGTGCTTTAAAATGTTTTTAATATCGAATATTATATAAATACTTGTTTTCCACATATTTTAGCCTAAGACTAAAATTAAGAAAATTATAGCTTTGTAAAGGCAACTAAAAAAATGAATACTTAAATATACCTATATTTATGATAAATTAAGCAATTATAGAAAATCAGTTCATGCTATATTTAAAAGTCTTATTCAAGTACATATATACATATAATAGTAAGCCCATACACTATAAAAACTAAATAAATATGAAGATATTATTAAAAACATATTGAAAAAGAAACACCAAGTGACAACTAACCTTATAAAATTTAGTACAGTATCGGGGAGAGACGACGTGTCATTTACACATGTGCCAGGCCTCGGCTCAGGAACTTTGCTGCTTATTACTGGGAGCCACGCTGAGCTTGACGTTGCTTGTTCTTTAAACTTCCCTTCGAAAGCTTTTTGTATATCTCCAATCGTAAAAGTGCATATGGCTGATCCCATAAGACCAGTCGAAGCAGTAGTGAAAACCCCGTAGAAACGACTGTCGTCGCCAGGTACTTTGTAAATACTCTCTGTTGGTGAAAAACATTTTTTATTACTAAGCGACCTAATAAAATTATTCAATAAGACAAGATCGGAGCATAGTATTCATGATTTTTGTTTCATAAACTTGATTTTCTATTCTATATTAGTATGCATTAATACAAAATTTTAAATAAAACTGGCCAAATTATATTACTGCTAATACATTAAGATTCTTCCGAAGCCTATTCCCCTAAGGAGTGAAAAGTGAGTTAAAATGGTTTTCTATAATTTTGTTAAAGTAGTAAGCTTACTAAGTAAAAGTAAATTTTGTCAATATATAAAATTTTATAAACATTACAGATAGATAAACAACATCACTTCTGATTTAATTACTGTTAAATATTAATACTTGAGTGAAACCTAAGCGAGGCCCTATTTTATCTTCTCATATTGCATTACGAATAGAACGTATAAAGTTAATATTTCATTTAGAGCATTACGCATTTCGCTTTTAACGTTTCCCTTGAGATTATAACAGAATTTCGTCCGATAATTTAGCTTAGTTATACTGTGTAGAGTATTAAAGACCAGGTGAGTAGAATTGGGGTAAACAATTTTGATTCAAGATAACCTTGTGTACTTTAATGTGCAACAATAAAATAACATATGAGTAGGGTATAACTAAATTTACATGATATTTAGACGGATTTCAATAAAATATTTTTATGAAACATTAATGTAGATTGTACAATAAATATATCATTATTTATAATATCTTTTTAAATACCGACGGTTTGTAATATGTTTATCGTTATAAAATATGTAAACAGGACAATTCAATGTATGTACTTATTAATGATTTTGATACAAATATAAATCTGCATAATAGCCATTGAAATAATTCAAATTATCAGTACAAACACAAATCCTAATCTGTACATAGTTGTCAAAACTTTCATGAGTTCGCTTAAATTACTGTTGTGGTTTCGAACTTTATATCTCCATGTCACCAGACGTTACCATAGTATGTATTAAACTATGATGTAAATACAATTATAATCGTCAATTCGTTAAAGGTTATTAAATATTCGTTAAATGATATTAAGGACCGGACCATTTTTATTATTATTTCGTATTTATCTTGTTTATTCAGAAAATATTAAAAGTAAAGACCCTAAGACGTGGATTTCGTGATATCATAAATAAAGCTTGTATTAAATTTGGGAAAGGCGTAAAACGATGTTTTGGGGAAAAGCAAGCACATAATTTACAAACATAACACGAAACAGTTGTCAAACGAAAGCTCAACGCGTGCCGCCTATAAATATATTACTCTTAGCCTTATATTTAAATACGCGATTTACTTATCACATGTTAGGTCAACGCAATAGTGTTTTCCTTTTATTAATTGGTCCTTAAATAAATATGTAGTAGAAATAGAATCATTGCGTTTTGTTGTTTTACCTTATGTTTTAAAATATTTTGCACATAACAATAAAATAGTCAACAGTGAAAGCTACATACAATATAAGTAAGCCTACAGTTGTGCATGTTTAATGAACGCAAAGCCAGATTACATTTTGCTTACGAATCTAATTACGTTTAAACGTAAATGTACACAGCACACTTGAACTATTACGTCCTCATGAGAAATGCAGGAATGCAATGGGGGCGCGTGAAAAATCGTGGTAAAGCCGGGACGGTAACGTTAATATTGTATGAAGGCAGTCGCAAACTCCAGTCTCGGAGAGGAATTGGCTAGACTTTTGTCGTTTTAAATCTTCCTATGCACTATTGAATCGAAGTGAAATGTTTGCTCGAAATTGACGGTAACTGTTTGCATGTTTGGGATTAGGGTGCTGCTACGAAGTTAGTTGGCGAAGCTCGGTAAGTCAGTCTGGATACACAGAATCGTACTTTGAAGGGGCACAGAAAATTGCTACAATATTTAGTCTTTTGTGCAATTTTCAAGATTGCTGAGTGGATAACATGTTTGCTTTGTATCCTTCAAACTCCGCACATTCTGATCATAAATACACCGTGATACAAATATAATATTATTATAAAATTTTAATTCTAAAATAAAATGTAGGTAATAAAAACTTTTAGTACTTACGTATTTCATTGAAGTAAAACGGGAACTCGCCAGGAATGCTACAATTGAGCCGAGCCTTCAAATACGTAGCCCAGTTTTGACTTAGAATGTTTTTACCGCCGGTGTCCCTCTTGCATACTCGCGCCACCCGCGAGTAAACTGCCTTCCCGCAATTGATATACTCTACCGCAGTTTCACGAAAGAAGAATAAGACGTATTCGCCCACGTCAAATGACCCGACGAAATTTGGTTCTAAAAAAGAAAGAATATGTTAGTACTTTTGCTTTTTTTATATATTAAATAGGAGAATTCGTAGCTTCGCTCGCGCTAAAACTACAAAAAAATAATATTTCAAAAGTTAATTTCATACAAACTTTAATCCTCTAATATACCCCCTTATAGAATGAATTTCGAAAAATGCTAAAACACATATTTATTTAATTTTATTGAAGAGCATTAATATCAAGTTTCAAATAATTCTGATCATAAATATTTTTATTGGATTATATTATAACGGGTTTTCCCCTGGGAATTAGATAATCTCCCGGGGTAAAAAGTAGCCTATGTCACTCTCCAGCCCTCCAAGTATCTCCACATAAAAAATCACGCCAATCCGTGTCTCTCCGTTTTGACGTGAAAAAAGGACAGAAACAAACAAATAAACGAACACATTTTCACATATAATATTAGTATGGATACACTTTAGTCTTTAAAGAAACCTTACATGAAATAAGAGAAAAGGTAAGCTTCAAAGGAAAAGATTCTTCTGTAGATGGCATCATTATTAGAAATTATTACTATACATAATATGTATACTATAATAATAATCTATGTAACTATCTATTCCTATGTATAGAAGAATATTTTCTTTCCAAAATAAAATTGAGTTTTATTTATCGAGCTTATTTTAGCTACCTACATATATTATTCTTTGATTGTCATTATTCATTAAATAGTATAGGTATGTAGCCGTATTTAAAGTTATGAATTCAGATATATTTTAATAAATATTAACATGTAACCCGAAAGATTTGTCAGCGCCATTACATTACATTTAACTGCTAACGCTATATTACGGTTTAATTACAAACATAAATTTTATATATTCGCAGTGGAGCGTAGCACGCGTTCCCATGTTAATACCATAGTATCAAATTGCTGTTATTCTGTGTGATATGCAATAAATATTAGATGAAGCCGTGTGTCAATTATGTCATATATGAGGCGTTCGCAGCTCGTATTAATACGTGCTCATTTGTTGCAAGCTGAAATGAAATCGCCGCGTGTTAAGGATTAAAGACACACGACACCGCCGTCATTCATATGTACGTACCTACTTGTCATATTGTGTTGTTTCCATAGGTGAGATTATCTCCTGTTTCATAAAGCTAAAGGAGCATTAAAATTTAATAAAGCCTCGAGCTTCGAAAATTTATGCTATAATAAATTATTTGATCGCAATTAATGGCCGATAAACCGGGCTATTTATTGATGAATAGATTCCCAGATATTAATATTTAAGATTGGACAATATCAAATATGTTAATGCACGTAAATAACAGGGTAATTTATATGATAATGAAAGTTTAATTAAAATATATGCATGAAGTCTTCGTTTCAATTTATTCCATGAGAAGAAATAATGTTACTTTATTGAATAATTATTTTATCGATTATAATCGAATAGCGCTAAAATAAATATGTACTTGTTGGGGTAGGGTATGTGACCTAATAGTGCTTGCAAAATTGAAATATATTTCAAACACAAAATTAAATATATATGTATATAGCTTAGATATACACGAAGTTTAGTTTATTTTACAAAATCTGTGAATAAGCACTTAATAAATATCCTAAAAAATATTTCAATTTCAATAGCGATTTACAAAATTATCACTGAAACAATAGCCGTAAATTAGGCTAGGTGAATTCTATTCGCTTGATCAGAGCTCAGAATAGCTTTAATATACAATGGAGCGTTACCACAAATACGGGACTAAAATCGGTCACACGTATTATTTAGCTAGATGATGTTTCGAACTATTCGCGATTGTATTATTGTTTTTGATAAAATATTTTTCATTTGTGCCATTAAGATTTATTTTCTTTCTATTATTACTGTAATTATGATAAGGAAATTTGTTCCACTTTACAAAATTTCACAACGAAGATAAGAACACTAAAGTTACACAAACTGATTGTAAAGTAAGGGAATTTGTCGAGGCATTTCTATTATGGTTACTGGCGCACAAATTAACGGGCAAAGATTGGGGGCACATTACAGCTCGTTAGAGCGAAAACAGTTTAATTTTCATTGTTTAGTCGCAAACAGGGCGATTCCAGTCTAATTCGTGTAAGCGCCGATAATTTGTAACAATTGTTCTAATCATTAGCAACCTACAGCTGATTGCAGATCACTGATGTAGCGATTCACTGATTAACGAATTCATTCATCAAGCTTTTTAGGACAATGATTACGCCTATCATATATTGTTAGTTTAATAATTTCATAAGCACAGCCGATATTCCTGCATTCAAAACGGCACCATTATATTACCACGCATCGACTAATTTGCAAGCACTAATGGAATGAAAATATTTTTTTGTTTATTAACTTAGTATGTAAATTAGTAACTTACTGTCTAGCCATTTCGAGTCATATTTCAAAGTCCGCTTGAAGGAGAACTCGCGACGACCCGTTGTCAGGTTATGCAGGTCAGTCCTGAAGATCACGGTGTCTGCTTTAGTGAACTCAGCGTTAGTTCCCGAGTATAAAGCGGGTAGGGAGCCTGGGTTGCCTTTCTCCACCCACAGAGCTGTGGAGTTGTCAGCTGGGTCGTAGGGACACTTTGCGACGCCCATGCCAATGCCCGGCACGTACTCGTGACGGGGCAGGTGCGTCAGGTTGGACTGCAACAAAACAATATCATTTATTTTTATATCCACCCGAAATGCTTTCCTCCCGAAGAAAGGGACTAAAAATCTTATAATCATTTCCATAAAACTGGATTCTATCGTTATTTTACTCAAAACGGAAATTTAAATATTATTAATTTTTATTAGCTGAGCGTTTCGATTTCACGTGCTATTAATCAAATGCACTAAAAAATACCTAACGAGAAGATTTATGCGTCTAGCGCACTGCCCTCCCCGGCTGGCCGTACTCGAAAACACATCTGCGACTAATTTTTCCAAAAACCAACGTCCGTTTCACGTTCACAGCGATTTATTGACTGAAACTTATTATTAGAAAAGAGCTTAAATATTTTCGACATAGTATAGGCGTATTCCAGTGAACTCCTCTATTAGTATAATGCGATGGGTGGCGGTACAGTTTTCGAAATTATCATAAAATTACTAAATGTAGCATAAACGTGGGGTGGGCAGGCCCGTCGCGGTGGATTGAGACTTTATGTAAATTTTAACGACGCTGCGACCATCGGAGGCACCTGTGACCCGCCTTCCCCTCCGCTGGCCCGCGGCACCTGTCGAAAACCTATGTCGTTTTTATTTCAATAAGCCGAGGATTAAATTAGGCGTGCGCGGAAGAACCCGCGACGAATGCCTTAGGCCAGAGGGTCTTGCCTTATTCTTTACTTTTACTTGTAAGCCAAGTAATACATCGGTTAACATAAGATTTTAAACCAATGTATGCTTTGTTAAGAATTTGACCGAAAAACCTGAAAGTTTATGCATACAGTAGCCGCTACAGAAATTTATTTTTCAAATTGAAAAAATTTTTACAACAACAGTATTATTGCTATATGACATACGAAAACATAAGAACAAATTTAAAATTAATAAAAAATAATAATTATAAAGTACCAACCCACCTACGTATTTAAAAATTACCCCATATAATACATACGTGTAAGCGCTCAGAGAGGATATTAGTGAAACAAAACACTCAATTGAGACTAAAAACAAACATTACCAAGAAAATGTAATAATCATGAATAATATAAAATTTAGATAATTTATTTATAACTGTGATATAAAATTATTTCTATGGCAAAGTAAATGTAAGTCCAAAATAAACAACTCAATGAATCGGACGGAAGAGCTCGCGGCCTTCCCTCGTAGAATAAGAAAGTTGTGGACAGATCCGCAACCTTCATTAGGCCTTTGCTTTGTTTGTTTACAAAATTAGCATTTTCAAGCTCTTAGAAAGGAATCGCCCGCTGCGGCAATTATTACACATAAAGTGAAACTTTGCAAAGGGGATTTGCATGTTTTAAAAAGCGACAAATTTTTGTACTGCTACTGAAGTTTTCATTCGCAATTGTATAAAAAGGTAAAAGGACGTGCCATTGAGTGTAATAAAATATGCTCGATATTAAAAAAATTAAAACATTTTTTAGCAATTTCTTTATAGTGTTATTTTTAATGGCTAGAAAAGATCTTTTAAATTTTTCTTTTTCAAGAAATTATCTTTAATTCATGTTTATGACAGTTATTTTTATATAGTAAAGGTAGGTCTATGAATATACACAACATTTCCAAACCATCACAAATATAATAATTTTATAGCTAACTAACTAGTACTTAAACCCGCGTACGTTCATTGCAAAAACATCGCACACTATTTCAGACGATTATTTTATTATTATAGGAAGCTATAGCTTTCCGCCAATATTTCCCTTTGTTTTAAGAGAGTCTGAGAAAATATAGCTTGTTTTGTATCAACGTATGCAAATGTAAATAAATGTATGTTTCATTTTCTGCGTGTCAGTTTATAACTTAAGCGCGCACATATGAAAAAGTTCTGACTATTTAAAGATTTCAGATACCTATTAGCTGTTTAACTATGCTACAACACATTCTTAGATTTAGGCGAATATTTGACATTTTAAATAAAAATATCTTGTGGGATTTTTTCGCGAATTAATTTAGTATATTTGGTTCTCGACGCCTTTGAGACGTCTCAGACCGTAGTCTCTCCCGTGACCATGATTGCTGTAAAAAATTCGAAATGTTGGGAACCAAACATCAAAATAAATCCGCGAAAAATCCGACAAGAAAGTTGTATTTAAAATATGCTACAATAACTTTGTGTTTGTAAATATATGATTTACTGTTAACTTGGGCGAAGTTAGCTATTTTATCCATATAAATAACATAGCGATATTACAAATTTAAAACTTTTCTATCAACGTTAAATTCAACTTTTCACTACTATACGTAATAAAGTATTGTAACTCATGTATACTTACGGAAGATTGTAAAGAGAAACGGGCTATAAAATTTTTCAAGTATAAGAGTAAAAACTTTAGAACGGTCGTATAAAGTAAAACAAGCGAACTCAGGTGTAGTGATCCCGCATTGGATCCTGCACGTCAAGTCGCGTACGTAGTCGCAATATATTGATATTGAGGTTTTCCAGGGAGGTAGTATGAGGACGGAGGTACGTTTGAGACACTTCTTTATGTGAATGACCTTATCGCAAGAGAAATAATCTAGTTTTGGTTATAACTAGCGGCCCACCTTCGCTTCGGTCGGGTTCGTCGCTAGGTACGTTTTAAATAGATATAAATAGTTATTAGCCAACGTTAGCCATATAAATTTTTATTTCGTTAATTTTTCATTTTTTTCTCTTTATTAAAACCTTCCGTGGACCTTAAGGAACATACGAAAAAAGTTTTAGCCGAATTGGTCCAGCCATTCTTGAGTTATGCGTTTACCAACATTCATTTTTATTTATATAGATAGATAAAAATATGTTAAAAGAATCCAAAATATTACTAATAAGTACTTGATTTAAATTTTCTAATTCTATCGTATGTAGTAGCTACTACGACTCATGTTTCGGTTTCGACTGTGATTGACAAAAGAATATTTCCTCTTAATAGGTGAGGTATCAACCGATATAAAGATGTTTTTATATCGTAATTAAATTTATGATAATAGGGTTAAAATATTGATAAAAGTCTATTAAAAATATCTATACAATAAAAAAAACTTATTGAAATCCGTACACATGTTTTGGAGTTATCAGTGATTAAACAAACACACGGTTTTCAATCTTTTCTAAAACTCCAAATCTTAGATATGTAAGTCTACTACGAGTATAATTTCATTATAAACATTATAGATGTAAAAATTTATTATGATAATATTTTTAAAATTTTCTGAACATTCATATTCGTTGTTACATTTTCGATAAATTGAAAGTTAGAGGATGGTTTGAATATTTAAAATATTTTAAATTAAAATAATATAATTACCATTTAGCATATCTTCCTTTGTTCATGCGATTGAAACTATAATCACGCATATATTATTTCGTTAAGGCTCATTGTGTTGGGAGGACTTTCATGCACAAAGGATCTTTAAATTGCAGGATGCCGCGGGAGAAGTTTCGGCAACTGTGTCACTATCAGATAATGAGATCGAGATGAACTTTGCTATATGAAATATATGACGCCATAAATAAGTAGCTAAATTTAAGATGTCATCATTTTATAAAATAGTAACCCTCTGAATTTTTAAAATGGAGGTTTTCTAGTAAGACCTCCTTCATCTACTCTAAAATTTAGTACATTGAACCTATATAATAAAAAATAAACCGTTTATATAGAAACTAGGCAACATAATATTATTTTATTACCCTATAAATTTCATTTTAAGAGCATTACAACGTTTACAATAGCGCTATGACGCTATCACAAAACAATGCGCAATGAATGTAACAGCACGATATTGGCTTCTAATTCCAAATGGGATAGATACTGCACCTGTGCACCATGTCGTGTGACATATGAGTTCGAATTGTACTTGCTAACCGTAAAAATAAATACGAAAAGATGAGTATCGTTTATATAAGGTTTAAACCTGAAGGTGATCAATTTAACATATTTCATATAAGCAATACTTTATTGATTTTATACTCAATATAATAGACAAAATTACTTTAATTTCAGAATATGAATTGTGCATGGGCCTGAGTACGGATTATTGGTCTTATTATTTTTAATACGATTTACTACTAGTTAAATTATTTTTATATGATTATTTCTAACAAATATGGGCAACATTTCGAAGGTAAGTAATAATATGTCATTATGAATGTACATAAATACCAATTTGTAATTATTTCTTTAAGATTGTAATAATAACATAACAAGCTTGAGCATTGAAGGTGATAAGTGATGTTGAGCCAACTGTGGGTATAAAATTTATGGAAATTGGTAAGTTTAAAAGTGAACATTAGGTTTGTCATAACCAATGTTCAGCAAACTTCAATTTCCTGAGCTCTCGCACAAACTTTACCGTGTGTTTCGCATATCAACGTTGCTTTACTGAACGAAGCATTCGCAGCCGTAAGAAAATAACTGTACGAGAGCAAAGGCAAGTTTCCTTCATAAACTCATGTTTGCTATCCACCTACTAGAATCTTAATGAGAGAAGCGATAAAAATGTTCGAGTATAACGTCTGAATGCTAGTGTTTTAGACGTAGTTTGTATTAAGTTTAACGGCGAGCGTAAACTCTGGTACAAAAATGTTCATACGAGATCATCTGCGTGGGAGCTGAATATGCTATTTGGCTTATAAAGTGATTTTACCGAGTGCTCTCGACGCGATGCGGCGCGGCGTCGCGGCCTGCACTCGTTATAATTGCGGTAATGACAGAAACGTATGACACTAAGCTAGCGGATAACGACAGCCAATTGAGAAATAAAAATTATACACTTAATTTAAATATAAGTTAAAAAAATTATAGCTTCCTATTCTCCTTGTACAATTTTAGGTGCATGTAAACGATTTAAATTTAAATTGACATCGAGTATGGAGAAACGGGAAACCAACTATCTAAAAATTATTAATTTTATCGAATGGCCATAAGTCAAAATACGTACATTTCATATGCATTTTACGGATAATTGTTTTTTCTTTTGTGCAATATCAATTAAGTTAATATTTGCGCATATAACAAGACCACACCTTTATTACTTTTATTTTATTCGCGTGACGAGCTACAGATTTAACGTTTTCAATTTAAATGGGAACAATCAATAAGCGGGGCTTATCGCATTTTATTCGAACAAGATGAATGCGATGTGTTTTAAATCTGCTAGCTATACAAATTGTCCTATTGTTATGCAGGGTAAGAGCACGTTTACATTTGCTCATGTACATGCATTCTTACTTAATATTGTAAAAGCAAAAGTATGTTTGTTGGTTTGTCCTCATGCATGTAGCAACGGAGAAAGGGATTGTGCCGGTTTTTACATAGATAGGTATACTTTAAGAAGAGTGCTGTAAGATATTCATAAATGGAATAATTTTTATTCCAATATGGTGGTGGTTCTTTTTATGTAGGTATTATATTATAATAGGTTACTTGATATCTACTTAAATTTAAATAAAATATGTCTAAAATACCTTAACAAATAAATTATACGTATATTTTAATGTTTTACTATTACTAGCAGAACCCGCGGCTTCGCTCGCGTTTAAACTACAGAAAACCTCTTTTTCTTTATGTTATAACTAATAATTTGATGACTGTAATGATTTTTAAATGTGTGAATATGATTTCGACTCGCGCATCGAGGGTTCCGTACCGCCGAATATTGTGTTGTTTTTACTAACATATTTGCACGCTAATATAATTTTTTTATGATCTCGCAAAACATACCATTTGCAAAAAAAAATCGTATTACATATTATTATTTTTATTTTATTATGTAAAACAAATTTAATTTTAGCGATCGCAACTCAAAAGATCCAGTACAAGTAAAAAAGATATTTAACGTTTATTCTGTAAATATTCGTTTAAAGTATTTCGCAAGGTCCGCTACCTCTATTATTTGTACATTTTTCTACTCCATCCTTATGTTCATTTACCTGTTCCTTAATTATATTCTTGAATACCTAATTTCAACAATAAGAATGGTTGAATGAATGGGATTTTCTTACCAATTTTACCACTCATTTTTACCTACTCAGGAGGTGAATTTTGAAAAAATCTAAAATACGTGTTTATTTAATTGTATTGAAGATCATTAATATGAACTTTCAAGTAATTCTGATGACAATTTTCCCCCATAAGAACATTACGGCCCGCTTTAAGGGACGATATAAAAAAACTATTATATATATTTAATAATTTTATTATTTATAGGTATTAAAGCTAAGCACTACTTTCCGTCCATTTCATATTAAGAATGACAAAGTTTCATAGAATCTTTCATCTACTATTTTACGCATTTAGAGAATGAATTTCAAAAAAATCCTTTCGTATCGGATGCCTACATCATATATTGAAATACGTCCTCCCACTTTTCTACGATCAGCAGTTTAGGCTATGTGTTGATCCATCAGTCAGTCAGTCAGGACGAAGCCTTTCATATGTATAGATGTATAATTTATATCTAAAACCTTAAATAAACAACAATATGATACCAATATGATTCGTATCATGTACCTATATAATCTTATAATATTTTTATTTTTAATTACATTTTCTATCAACAGAACTGCTCGTGTATTAAGTAGATAACCAATGTGTATTCCAATACCTATTATAGGAATGGTTCTACGATAATAAACGATACCTGTTTGTTCCGACTTTCGTTTTATTGCTCTTGCTGTACTAATCTTTACAGGCTAAAAGTGATTGCATCTCATTGTTTTTACCATCTCTTATTAAGCAACGCTTTCTGTGTTTATTTGTACAGTAAATAAAGTCTGACTACCTTTTCAAAGGTATAGATAAAATAATATTGTAATTTTGTTGGAAAACTAGTGAAATTGAATTAAAATTGTATCGAGCCGGACAAGCCGCCATTTCGATAATTAATTATATATACCTAGGTTAAACTACTAAGCAAAATTTCGAAGGATAATTTAAGAGATATGTAAAGATTGATATTATTAATGTACATTTATATGAACAGTTATGAAATATGAAACGGAAAATATGAAATATGAAATTTTATCAGTTTCAGCACACAAAAAACAATAAAAATCAAGCGGTTGAAATGCAATCGCTTTCGTCATTTGTTTCCGATGCCCCTCGATCGCAAACCGCCATTTGTAACGGAATAGATATAAATTGATGACTGCAGTAAGGCCCTGCGCACACGTTGTCCAGTCAATCTTCTAGGATATAATGTTGTTTCAAGAGTGAGAGAGTACCAAAAGTGCTTTTAAATGACCGAAGTGTCTGCATTTTATAGACACAAGAAATTTTAATATTGTTTCTTTAGATAATATATTCGGTACAGTAAAGTTGTGGTTTTTTCAGAGAATTTATTTATTATTAAAGTATCTAAAAAAAAAAAATATTTGTCATTGTTTACTCATGCTATAAAAAGTTGTGTCAAAAACTACTTTATGTCCATTTTCCTGTAAGTGATACTTATGATATTTGGAGTTCAATAGGTTTAATGCTAAATGGGGTTAAAATGTTTTGTATTGTTACTGGATTGAAGATTGTTTGCTTGGTTGTCTGTAGCAAGTGCCTAACAGTTACTGCCCTATCAATTGCGTACATGTGATTTCACTCAATTTTTGAAACTGACGCGCCCTTACCCTCATGAGGGAGTGAACGCATTACTCAAACCACAGATTATACTGCAATATTTTTGTGTTACTGTTTCTAATATGTCATCTGAGAATAAATGAAATAAATCACGATAGGGCTCCGGGATTAAAAATTAAATTACCTATGAAATAGGAAACAGTTGCCTAAACGCCTTATGGTTTACTTGCGTGTTAGCGAATTGATATGTAAAGATGCTAAAATGTTTAGAATTTCGTTAGGTCTATGAAATTTAAATACATTAAAATCCAATAATAAGTTAAAATATCTATAAATAGGGTAATCTTATAGTTAGGGTAATCTAATAGTTGGCTAAACCAAATACATATTTAATATTTTAAAGCAGCTTATTATAAAGTTAAAAGCATGTAATTTGCTAGATTATTAAATTACATATTTTTCCTACTGGGGACTATTAAACCTACTGAAGAATACAATATTAACTTAGTATTATTTCTTGGATATGGAACAGTAATTTCTTGACAAAATATTTAGCATATTCACATTAAAAATATGAATAAAACTTTAAATTATTAATATATTCATGGAAAAAGTCAGTCACTCAGTCAGTCAACATTCTGGCTAAATGTTGATATTTTATATCGAAGCTCTATCTTACAATTTTATTTAGGTACATAGTTACAATTTTATGGACTTTGGAAAGGGGCCTTTCCCTTACATCCCATCATAAAGGATGCATTTTGGCTTCTGATAGCACTCTATTATCGTATTCATACTTTTAAAGTGAAAATTTGCAAAATAGTCATAAAAACCGTCATCCATTCGGCCTGAAACGCGATAAAACGTGTGAAGGGTCAAAACGACCGCCGATACATCATAAAATTATATGAAAGTCAAGAGCAGGGAAAGTGAGAGGTGAACGGAGTACAGCAAATTTATTGCGGCCTGCTTTCGATACCTATTGTGGAAACCTTTTTTATGACTTTAAAAATAATTTCATAAAAATATCTCGACTTCACGCCGCGCCGCACTCCGACTGGGCTCGAGTGGTCAAGTGGTGGTAATATATTTGAAATGTCGACATAAATATTATACGGAATGGAAATTTTCAGTTTAAAATGTTTACGATGAAGAGTGTAGGTACGTTTACACCTAAAATTGTCATAGGATGCCGGCTTTACGGAGTCGTTCGGTTAGAAATTTCAACGTAGAGGAAAAATCTTCTCTCATCTTACGGCGTCATTTGGAATCAGTACCCGTGAAATTTGTCGCGGTTGCCGGTGCGAAGCTACTGCGTTATGTAGATGCATTCTCACGAGAAATGGGAGCTTAAGTACGAGTTGTGTAAAAACGTGCAATAAAAGGAAATGTAGTTTCGTATTTTATTTATGGAACACATGTGCAGTGATCCTAGGAACTGTTGCGTCTCTGGCTCGCGGCCAAGGCTCATGTAGGAATAACTTGGAGTGGTTCTAAAGATAATAACATCGTCGTTATGCAGCCCCAAGATATGTGAAAAGCTTTAAAATTCTTATAATATACATATGTTTAATTAAAAAACATTTTTTACCGGCAGTGTTTAATTAAACGACGCGACGTATGGAATTAGGTCAATTTTCCGTATTTTAATTAATTTTATCTTCCAAATTATCAATTAAATAATTTATCAAGTATTTACAGAATTTCTTTAAAATGAAATTTTAACGTGGCGATAAACGTAGAAATGTGTTTTTCAATAATTGGAATGAAGGCAATTAAATTTTTAATTTTAACGCAATATTTTTTTCTGTAAAAGTTTTATTTAAAATAAAAGTACTAACGTAAATTGGAAGATATTATTGATATTACATTTTAAGTATAAAATAGTGATACTTACGTAAAGCACCCAGTCTTTAGGGCTATGAGCGTTAGTCCCGCACACGTAAAGCCTGGATCCGTCGCCCATCGGTTGGATCACTCTCACATGGTTTCGACAGTCGAAATGCTGAAACAGAGTAAGTGTTTTACACTAGTATAGTATTATATGATCTGTGGTTTTAATTTTACGTTTTATTATGTAAAATATCTATCTATACTTATTATAAAAATAAGTCCCCCGGCCGCGTCTTTCTGTCCTCCTGTCTGTCCTCCTGTCTGTCTGTACGCGATAAACTCGAAAACTACTGAACGGATTTTTATACGGTTTTCAACAATAGAAAGAGTAATTCTTGAGGAAGGTTTAGGTATATAATTTATTATGCTTTTATGTAAATTAGCTGAAATACGGCGACAAATGTTGAAGAGGTCGCAAAAAATCTCGCCAAATGGGAACTTTCCACGCGAACGCCGCGTAAACTAGCAAAGATACAGTTAAGTAATGTACTAGAGAATTCAAAATCTATAAAAATGCTACAAAAAAGTCCGCGATAGCATATCTCTATCTCTTACGGTTGACTTACAATAACCACTTTTATATTAACATTTTTAATTAAAAACATTACGTTATTTTCAAAGTTATTTTCTTTAGTTCGGTATTAATCCTTATCCAAATGAATATTTTAGTTAGCTTAGTCATTTAATGCAGATTAAAATTGCTCTTTACACTAAATCAATCAGATGAATAGTTTTTGAGATATCGTTGTTAGAAGTAATTAGTAGCGAAACATTTTTAATGCTTGGCGAGCATTGAGATGCCTACGGCGAGTCCATCCCCTCTGCCCCGCATCGCTCGACCGCATGCTCAAGCTATATAAACCGGGCGATGTAGCGCGCGATCCTAGGATACTTTTTACCGCGGGAAAATATCTTATTTCTGAGGAAAAATACAAAAACTGCAATGTAAGAGTATACTAATATGTAACACCTAAGAATTTAGTTTTTGGTCATCTGAACGCGGGCGGAGCCGCGGGCAATGCTAGTATTAAAATAATGTAAAGGTTTTTATATATTAATTTGTATAAATATTTTTATTATCTTTTTCAGGCTCGCTTTTTTGTGTTAATTATTATTTTGTCAGTCTGATGGAAATTCAGAAATTTATTGTCATATCATTGTGGCTAAATGGTTAAGTGAAAATTTTGGGTAAATATTATGAATGGAAGGAAAAATAATATGGATAATTTTAGTTCACTGTTTAACCGCAGTCCATTTAGTTTAAGAGCCATTGAAGTTTAACGCATGATCAGAATCAAGCCTAATTACTACAGTAAATTCACTCAATCTCTTACATTTCAATCAAAATTGGCGCAATACGGATAATTGGTTACCCGATACGATAAATAAATGAACTGCAATGAAGGAATACATATTGGGTGCATCGAAAATTTTATCGAAATAATAGTAATTCGGGGATGTGTGGGTGAGTGTCCGCTGGCTGTGATTATGCAAATTTGCGTCCAACATAAATATTGAACGGGACATTAATATTCCGTACGACAGGAATATGCGATGACCGCTTTAGTGAATAAAACGCGGTTCATGAACGATTGCTTCATGTTTGTGTTTATTAGGTTTTGTAATCACTGGCCACTATTTTTATCTAATTTAATTGTGATAAAATATTATGTTTGCTAGATTACAAAACCACAGTACTGCGTGCTCATTATTCATAGTAATGTGTGTGGTTGCTCCTAACCCTGCCCATAGTATTAAAGCGAATCTATTTCACTACATTGTTAATTGTTTAACATATACAAAATGAAATCGAACCGAGTGTATAAAGTAAACAAAATATCATCTGGCAATCGTCAGTTGTTTCGTTATATTTTCAAAAGCAATATACCAACTTGTGGGTATAGCAGGGCTTGCGGTAGCCGTGGCAGGACGGGAGATTGAAACTAATTTTCTCTACGTCACGACGAGAGCCGTCCGGGAACGACTATTGTGCGGATATTCTGTCAGATTTTGAAATTTGCGAAATACAGGACGGAAAGGAATATCACAAATGCTTTTTGTACGGCTGGATTGTCACGTTGCTTGATTTAAGTGTTATCACACCGCAGATATGCCTACTGTTCCTTTTGCTTAGAGTTTTATCATTATAATTGTTTGTGTTATTTCTTACTTATATGCAGTGGATTCCACGAGGCATATAAAAATTAAACACATAAAGTTTAGACTATGAAAATCTAATTAACTACATTATTTAAGATTATCATTATATACCCAGTAGGTAATAGGCACGTGAATACAAGCAATTTGCTCAAGTTATGTGTTTCCTCTTAAAAACTTGCGCCACACTCTCTTTCGTTCGGCCTCGTACTGGTAACTTTTCTAGAGATTGTTCTAAAGTAATTAACGGATTAATATACTTGGAACGTTTTAGCCGTTGTACTGACGTGAACAGAAGTGTTTTGCGCTCGGAAACAATCAGAATTAAGCAGGAGAACAATCAAGCTCACGTCTAAGTTTCTTTTAACGGCACTTAGCCGGCCTCTCGCATAACTTCACTCGGAACTAATGCTTTCGATTGGACCATTTCGTTAATTATTCGCCACTTTGTACGTAAGTAGATTTACGACCAGCTTTACTTACCTCGCATTTTTTGAATAAATGGCCGTCGTACGGAGATGAAGTAGTATTTTTTTAATATAATATAAAATAGCTCTTTGGTACGACAGACGAACCTTTCATTAGCAAGGCGATTGAGGGCAATTTTATTTTTATTTTTTTTATTAAAATCTCACTGTTTTTACAGAAAAGCTTAGTAACATAAATATTTATTTTAAATACAAAAATATTTACATTTCAAACTAATGCCTACTATTCTACTAAATAAATTACCGATTTTGGTCTTCCAACGAAGAATGAAAACTATAAACTTTAAACGGAAAGGCCAGTCAACTCTGTGGTCGCCTTAGAGAATTTTCTGTCAGAGTTTTCCAGCCTTTTTCGTGTAACGACACCGTGTTTAGACAAAGGAAAACTTGCCTACAGTGAGAAACTTTGATTATAGCTTTCACGAGTAGTCGTTACTCCCTTGATCAGGGTGATAGACGCCGGGATATTTCTTTTTTATGACCTTTTCTAATAGTAATAAAACAAATTTATTTTTTCTTTTCTGTAAGAGCTATGTGCTCAACCTTTTCTTAGATTTAAACCTTTTATTAAAGCTTGTACTTTTCCGTAATGATTTGGTTCCTTGTACTTTAAAAGATTTTTAACAGCTAATAGATATTTTGGTTAATATTCGTATAATTTCATTTCATTGGCTTAGTTGCAACGAAATAATAAGTAGGTAAATAAATTTCTCATAGGCTTTTTCTAAAGTAAATGTACATACCTATATTAATTGTATATCTATACATATAATAAAATTGTAACTAAGTCCAATATTTTTTGGAAAGTCTTATTGAAATAAACATTATTATCGATACAGTGGCCGAAACTATAGTTTTTAAAATTTTTGTCTGTCTGTCTGTTACCGCATCACAGAAAAACCACTGGAGGGATTTTGATGAGATATATAGATATATAGATTTGGTATAGTGATAGCTGGTTATCCGGTTCAACATATAGGATACTTTTTACCGCAGGAAAATATCTCATTTTGGAGAAAAAAATACAAAAACTGCTATGTAAGCGTATCTAATATGTAAAATCTAAAAATTTGGTGTTTGGTCATCTGAACGCGAGCGGAGCCGCGGGAAATGCTAGTGATATAATAAAATTAGAAAAAAATATATAATATAATGCGATAATAGTCGATAAACTGTATGTAACTATTAATAAGAAATAAAATGTGAGTTTCAAATTTACTACATGGTAGATTTATGACACAACAGTGACTAAACTCATAATTTTAGTAATAATCTCGGAAACCTAAGATTCCTTTATACTTAATAACACAAAATTGCGAGCTCAGCAATAACCTACATAAAATACTAGTTATATCAATTACAATCGCAGCAGGTCCCCAAAATAGGGAAACCCATTCGAGTGTGGAAATCGTTCGCGTCTTGGCCATTATCGAATTAGTGGATCGTGCGGCGCGGTAACTCGCAACAATCGCCCGATCTTTGGAGATGGGGGTATAAAACAAATATTGCTTTTACGTCGCGATTGTAAATCAAAATTAACGGCCTTAATATAGCTAGTGGGACGTAGCTCTGAGCTCCCTGCTACGGCTATGAAATATGCCCGCAGCCTGCACGCCATTTAGTTAAAAATGGGATTAATCCATGATGGAAATAGTGCTAGTTGTGTGCAATTTAGTGTGGAACAAAGGAGTTGCAATTGATTTAATGAGGCAATAATGGCAACTTCTCTCGGTTAAGTCCGCTACATTTATCACAAAACTTGATCCGGCTATCTTTTATTCCCCGGTTATGAAATTCAGAGCTGTTCTAGATTGAAATTTAATTTAAACGCCTGCTTTATATTGTACTTTTCGCGATAAATTAAGTAGCTTATACCTATTTGAGACTTTTGCTTTTTATATTTGCATACATAATTTAATTATAGGTACTGTGATGTTATCTAGATACTTATGTAGCTATACATATAATAAAATTGTAACTAAGCCAAATCCGTACATTAAATATTTTTTTGGAAAATCATATTAAAATAGACATTATTATCGATACAGAGGCCGAATCTATAGTTTTTAGAATTTTTGTCTGTCTATCTGTCTGTGACCGCATCACGGAAAAACCATTGGAGGGATTTTGATGAATTTTTTTATGATGATAGCTGTCGGGTCATATAGGATACTTTTTACTGCGGGAAAATATCTCATTTATGAGAAATCTATACTAACCGTCAAAACGTACCTAGGAACAAACCCGAGTGGAGCGAGGGTGAGTCGCTAGTTCTTACTCGTAATAATAAATGTAGATCTTAGACATAAGAATAGAAGAAATCTTCAATACTTACTTCTGATTTGCCTTTGGAGACACATTGAGCTACGTTACTCGGCTCCAAATTTATAGAATCTCTCTGTGAACAAATAAATTACAGAATTATTTTATACCAAAGTAAGTTGAAATTAAATTAAGGACTTATTACAATCTTATAAACTTACGTCACAATGTGAAGCGGTTATGTTTTTCATATTAAGCCGATATAGTCGATCCCTGGAAGGAAATTTACAAGTTTAGGAAAATTGTCATTACTATATTAAATATGATATTTAATGTTATATCTGTAATCTGTATACTAGTATGTCTGTGATTAACAAAGGTGTTACATTGTAGCTTTAATAAGAAAAAATAGCATACAGGCTAAATAAAAAAAATCTCAGTCTAGTTATACTTCTAACATCGCATGCAAGAAAATATTATTTAAACTGCTCAAAATTACGGCTTTACTCGAAAAAACGAATTACGTAAATTTACAATAAAACGATTACTGGTAATTGTTTCATAGTTGAAAATGCGATACCTGACGTTGTTGACAGTATATTATTAGGGATAATTTGAAATTTTTACAATAGCACGAACCCGTTTTATTAGATCAATAAAATCCTCTATGGGTATTGAAATGAAATTATTTTGTGTACTTCGTTGCTTTCCCATGTGCATATTCGATATTTTTGAATTTACTATTTATGTGAAAATAGGAAGTACAAAACTTACATCGCGCCGACGTAGAGCGCGTCGCGTTTGGAATCCACAAAGAAAGTCCTATAGTAAAGCGTGCCGCAGGAGAATTCTCGCACATGATCTGAAAAGAATAAAATATTTTTATGAATTCACTGAAATTTTAAATTTAGTCTTATATAATAGACGCTGTGAATAACTTAATAATAAATAGTAAACTACTTAATTATATACAGTTGCTGTCAAAGTAATATATGTAGCAGCAGATGTAAAAGGAAAACATACATATTTAAAATCTATTGTATAAAGTATATGAACTATTATGGTTATTTGCAAATATAACATAGGTAACTACTCATATAAGAAGTGCTCTAATATAAAACTTTTATCCTATGTAAAATAATTTGGTTTTTGGTCATCTGAACGCGGGCGGACCCGCGGGCAATGCTAGTATGATATATTCGGCGAATATTTGCATTCGCGGCAACACTAAATATTTATTATAATACCTATTAGTATACTCTTACAATGCAGTTTTTGTATTTTTTCTCAGAAATGAGATATTTTTCCGCGGTAAAAAGTATTCTATATGTTGACCCGGTTAATCAGCTATCATCATACCAAATTTCATCAAAATCTGTCCAGTGATTTTCTCGTGATGCGGTAACAGACAGACAAACAAACAGACAGACAGACAGACACAAATTCTAAAAACTATAGATTCGGACTCTGTATCGATAATAATGTCTATTTCAAATAGATTTGCCAAAAGATATTTAATGTACAGATTCGACTTAGTTACAATTTTATTATATGTATAGATATGCCATAATAGTCAATTAATAACATTAAAAAATATATTAAGTAAAATTGATAATTCATATTTTTTTATAAATCCTTTTACTGTTACCTCGAAATGGCTATTTTCAACATCTGGAAATATATAAACAGAGAAAATAAATCGTCTGTTAATAAAAAAAAATGCAAAAAAGATAGTTTTTATTATTAATTTAAATATTAAAACACCTATTCGCCGAATAACAAAATAATACTTTACTTTTGTAACAGTACTATATAATGCATCACTAATATAATAATATAATATGTATCATATTAAAGTATTTATGTCTATTACTGTCATAAAATAGTTTATATCAAAGAACTTAAGTCACAAGTAGTTATAATAACCGTTCCTGGCATTTAATGCGTCTGTATTAAAAGTTCAGTCTATCTCCCAATCAAATGTTATCAATAAACAATAATTTATTCGTTTTATTGGACAAAAAATTGGGAACACGTTTTGCTTTCGTATAGTTTAAGTAATTATTTCATGCTTATCTATTATAAAGGCGGGATGGGACACGTAAACGACAGGGGCCAAGGGGATGAAGTCACGCACCAAACACCCAGTAGTTTTACAACCAATAGTCATTTACGTCGAAAAGAATATCGTTCAAATAGTAAAGGAATAAACTACAAATCGTAAAAGCTACGTGATTCTAGTGAATATAGTGAACTTTAGAAAATGCTGAGTTATTTTATACAACAAATAACTTACTTATACTTATAAAATAACTGTTTAGAATAGGTTTTTTAGGTGAAATAAGTAATAGGCGAGAGTTGTGTTTTAAATAATTTCATATCAGTTCTGTTGCCATACAACACAGTACAGTCAACTTTTTTTTTTTTTTTTTAATGTTGGGAAATGCATTTACGCACGAGGTGAGGGACTCACCGGCAAAGCCAGTACTACCCACTAAAACCCAACGAAACCTTCCCCCGTCTTAATGGGGCGTCGCAGGATCGCTTACGCATTCAACTACGACGCCCCGACGGCAGGTCTGCCGAAGCAGACCACAATAACCACGGGGTTGCTCCACAGTCCACTCTGCTATCAGAGAAGTACCAGGAGCAACCCGCATGGTACACTGCCCTCCGAAGAGGGCCACCTCCCACCGCCCACCGAAGTGGGCCACCTCCCTGTGCGTTTCTTGGCGTCGCGCCCGGTTGGGTTGCCGGGCACTACTGAGCCCCCCCACCACGACAAGGTGAACGCACGTTGGGGGGGACAGTACAGTCAACTAACATAAGTAATGTTAGAGCATAGTCATCATATTTTTACATCTTTTAATTGAAAATATCTGTATTTATTATAATGAATTAAAATAAATGAATTAAAGAGGCAATAATAATGTGTTAAATAATAATTATTTATTAAGTTGATGTATTTCAATAAGATGGTATTGATGGCATTTTTTTTATTATTAAAAATATAAGTGACAAAACTGTCATAACAGGGTGTGAGAGAGAGAGTAACGGTCCGGTGTGTTATTTCACTATTGTAAATTTAAATTATTTAAGTACATTATAAACGAATGTAATAATTGGGTATTTCATTTAAAGTGCTATTCTAATAATAAGAGATTTTTAATTACATATTATTTTTAATGAAAAAAAGCTACATAAATTACTCAATATATCACAGCATTACTGAGTTACAAAACTCTGAGACTGACAACTTAATTAAAATGTAACAGAAACATTTAACAATCGTTTACAGTGAACATTGAATGGCAGTACAAAAATAAAAACCCCTAACATATCGTCTGACGAGCAAGACTAGCTCGCGCGGAAGACTTTTCAATGTGCTCACCTATTCCGCCCGACGCCTCTATATGGAATACATTTTTCACCAAGCCAGCCGTCACTGTCTTTTATACATTTTATGTTGAATAAAGAAATTAAAGTCATGGCTCGTTCTACACATTTTCTATTTTTATCACTTTTTTTGATTCCTTTTGTGAAGTGTCATGTAAATGTGTGTGTTGACTAACGATGTTTTCAGTCAAATATTCGAATTTTTCAGTAAGGTGTACTTTATGTACAATAACAAAGCTACGAAGTGCCTGTACATTTACTACAGAATTTTTATAGCATATTGCATTTACAATAAAGTTACAAACTTCTGTCCGTAGTCATAAACATAGAATGTTTAGCACGATTAAATATACTTAGTTTGTAGCTCTTCCGAAGTTCTGTCAAAAACAATGTTACGCTATAAAGAAAGTTTAAATGGAAAACACTAGAAGTGGAGCAATCCAGGCACGTACAATATCAGCTTTCATTGTTTATTTCAATCACTACTTTTACATCGAATATCGTTGATAACATTTAACGGTTGTATTTTTTTTCTTATTTTATAAGTTATGTTACTTGTTAGACAATTCTATAATAATTGACTACAGAGAAATATAATTATAACTTCATAGAGTTGTCTTCAACACCAAAAAATAATTTGAGTATAGAAAAATGAGAAGTTAGATAGCCACTCTATAAAGCCTCAGGTATGCGTCAGAGTAGGAGTTCCAAACCAAGGCCGGGGGCGCGTCCCCTGGGGGTGTAGAGAGTTTATTTTGTATAACTTAAAATTGAAATAAATCGTTAAAATAATGTATGTTTTATTATAATAAAAAAATAAACGGGGCATAAAAATATTTTTTATAATCCGGGTGGGCTCAACAGAAGAAAGGTTGGGAAACTCTGCGTTAGAGCGTTGGAAATCCGATTAATAATCTTGATAAAGTGACAATGTTTCATGGTAAATGAAATTAGAATACACTGCAGTGCGAAGAGAATAGAGCAGGTGCAAATCAGGCATCGGTATTGCTTTTCGACGCGCGCCGTTGGGACGACAACCTTGTAGCACGAATTTGCATGTGTGAGATGTTTCAAGCTATTTTATTTCAGTGCTATTTTGGTTTATTTCTTTATAAATGTAGAAATTTAATTTTTATAAACATATACATATATAGTTATATTTTATTTAAAATTAAAAACACTATGATATATAATTCAATAATCATAATTAAAAGTAATTTCTTATTATTATAGCTTTAGAAGGCAGTGGTAGCCCAGTGGTAACGCGCTCTCTTGGGAAACCGAGTGAAACGGGTTCAAATCCCGGGTCTCGCACCTCTGATATTTTCATGTGCGAATCATTTCCAACATGATTGGGACTTGTTTTAATGGTGAAGGAAAATATCGTGAGGAAACCTGCATGTTTGAGAAAACCTAGCAAGTTTTCAAAAGACATATGAAGTCCGCCAACCCACATTGGGCCAGCGTGGTGGACTATGGGGTGATGTCCCTCGTACTGAAAAGAGGTTCGTGCTCAACAGTGGGACGTTAAAAATAGTTGAACGCAAGATGAGTTAATCTGTAGTAAAATTTTATATATAATAAAAACCCCAATTGCCCCAAATAAATTTGAAATTACAACAATTAGTGATAAAGTCCTAGAAATCTTAACAGCGCCCAATTAATTAAGGGCTTATATTTATAATCTCATTAATTTTCTTGTTTATTTAAAATGAGCCGTGTTGTTTCAGCACTTGAATCATTTCCATCTAATCGGTAGCTTATTAGCATAAACATACTTTATATTATTTTATTTTGAGCCTAGCAATAGGGTATAATAAGGGGCGGGAATATCAAGATCCTTAAGAGACTGTCGACACGCAAACCGTTTAATAGTGACAAGTATACATAAGCAATGTGTTAAGTCACGTCGTGTGTCCAAGTAGTGAAGTAATGGATATCACACTTCATCCAAGTAAACAAAGATTAAACTATTAATTTATGTATGTGTAAAAAAAATGTGCCACTTTTCATATATTTACTTGAGATTTAACAAATCTAAAATAAATTATATCCTATGCCTTAATCTCAATAATGATGCTGTTTTCAGTATGAAAAATAAAATAAATAAAGTTGAAATATTTAAATTAAACAATGTACGTATTTTATACAGTATATACTTATACTTAAGTAAAAAAGAGTATCGTTTGTATTTAACTTTATAATATTTCAGTAAGCAAGTTTTCTTTCTCGAATCACTTAACCTAAAATAAATTAATTATAAATAATTTTGTTATTATAATTAACGGAGATGCTATCACTGGTATAAATGAACTGGATTTTATGAGGGTTTTGAATAGTTTTGTGCTTTCGAATCGTTCATGTTTCAGAATTAGACGGGTAATTATTTTATCGCATGAGCAAGCTAGTGGAACTGACCAAGTGGTCAGAGGGGGAAAGTTCGAGCTCACAGCTGGAGTTGAAGAAAGTTGTATAACGCACGTTTTGACATGCTATCGTCCTAAATTATTTTGGTCAAGGGTAGTTTAGTCAAACTACGCATAGGTACATTATTAACGGCTTTATTATATTGCCCGAAAATAAAATTATATATATCATAATAGAAAAAATACTTATATTCTATAGTTGGTTCGAACAATTATTTCCGTTTCCTTTTAAACAAGAATAAAAGTGGACTCAAAATCAATACATTAGAATACAATAAATTTATAATAATGGGAAAAATAAAGGTAGGTACTATAACAATATATTAGCGATTTGATGGATTATATGGCGATTAGGAATGACAGGAAATCCGCGTATTTTTCATTTGGCAATTGTTACGGTGCCGATATCGCGGTACACGTCAGCGATTAGATTAACGGCACACAATTGGCTTACATGAAAACTTTGCCCCATTAGCTTGTAATACCTACTCCGTGGATTGGATTAATTTAGAACGTGCCCCGCGGTGTTTGTGTTCCGTGTTATCGCGTCTGTCTTTAACAAAACACGCCAAAGTCCAAATTAAATATTGCGGTTAGTTCTCTACATTTTTATACGTGTGTGGATAGTTTTGACTGTTTGAATCATCAAAAGTTAGGTATATATATATATATATATATATATATATATATATATATATATATATGTATATGTATATATATATATATATATATATATATATATATATATATATATATCAAAACAAAAACATTTAAAGCTCATTAAAAGCTTAACGATAAACAGAAAAATTATTTTTATCTAAAATATTGTAAATGTTATAAACTTATTTATGAAATAAAAATAACAGAAACTTGTGCCTATCGTAGTACTAAATTAACTTTTAGGTAAGGTGAGATTTTAGTCACGATCTCTTTGAAAAGGTGTACCGTCACTCAGGCGAAAAGTCAAAGTAAATTATCTAAAGTAATCGCTTCATAGGACTTACAGAAATAGTTCTACTGTTATTACATATGTGAAGTCAAATAATAAGTGAGGCGTAGATTAAATTACAACTAGGAACATACTGCATGTGTCTATTATGGTAATCGTTTTATTTG